AGCTCGATTTGTAGCTGTGTTTTGGCCCACGTCTCCCTTGCCATCCTCTGAAACACCTCCTTTAAGGGCGCATGGACGTGAGCCCCACAGGCAGCATGGGCCACCGAGACCTGTACTGCTGAGTACCTCACTGCCACAGAAAAGGACAGGAGTGGGACCGGTGCCTCCTCAGGACAAGTAACTGAACATGTTTATCTTCCATTGAGACTTTCTCTGTTCTCACTGCAAGCATAGGCAAGGAAACATCTACCAGAGAGACACAACAAACTTGGGGAAAGCAAAATTGTAAAGAAATGCAGAAACTGAATGTACAGAGAGGGACAATACCATGCAGCTCCATGAAGGCAGCCAGCTCCTTCCTCACCTGGAGTGAAGGAAGCAGCCCCTCAGCTGCAGAATCTGGCTCCTACTGCTGCTCCTAGCTGGGAATATCAACAGTTCTCCCCTCACTGAGGGAGTTCAGCTGCGATGTTTGTCAGGTTTTTCCTGGATCTCCAACACCATCATTTACTCTGTGTTTAAACTTTATTAAGTAACCTTTAGCTTCATGGGTCGGTTTGGTTCTGTTGCTATTGTGTCAGTGAATGCTACAGCTGCTAAATTTTTCAAGTTGGAAAGCAAAACACACAGCACCAAACCCTGTTTTTCTTCCTGACCTTTTATTTGTGGAGTAAGTGGAAGATGCCAAAGGACAACCCCTGTGCAAGTGGCAAACCTCTCCCATCTCAGATGAACTCACAGTTAGACTGCTGATGCCATGGGGCCTAAGCATCCTTCTTTTGACTTGAAAACCCACCAGCTCCAAAAACCCCAGTCTCCCCAAAACTGTTGCAAGCAGCTCTTAGAAAATTTGTTTAGAAAAAGATTGGTTATTTTGGGGAAAAAAAAAGTGCTTTAGAAAATAACACAAGGGTTATTTTCTCCTCCTGCAGCATTTTCTTCTCAAACCCTAGTGCAGGGTTGTGTTGTTCTCTCTGGGGTCCTGCAGGTAAATGCTCTATAGCAGCACTTTCTGGTTTCATCAATAGAGTAGGCAGTTCTCTCCTCTGTGGCTTTGTTTAAAGTTCATGAACAGCAACAGCACACAAGTACATCCTCTTTCAAAGGGAGGTGTTCTGCTTTTAGGTAATGCTTCCAAATGAGATTTTTTTTTTCTTGGTCTGCAAAGTAGCTTTTCCCTCTTATTTTCATAAACTGTCCTATTGCCTAATTCCAAGTTCCTCCACAGCTAAGGTTGCAGCTGTTTCTGTTTAGAGCTTCATTTCATTTTGCCTCCTCATTAATGCCTTCAATAAGGTCTCATGCTTGAGACTAAAAAGAAGGTCTGAAGCATAAGACAATCTGAATTTGTTTTTGCAGTTCTGAGCCTCTTCTAGCAATTTAGTTGAGACACATCTGCAATACAAATATATGTACGTGTGGCTCCAAGTATTTGCTCTTTTTGTCCTGTACAAACATCAGGGGAACATAAAGGGACAGGAAGACATGAGGAAAAAGGCAGAGAGGGAAATTCGGAGCTGTAAGGAACTCATCACATGAGGAGCAGAGAGGACAAGCACATTTGCCTCCAGAATTCACCAGAAGCAGTTCCCTGAAGCAGTGAGGTGCCCTGCCCACTTTGAAGGGCTGACACTCCTGGGCACAGCCAGTTGCCAGCAGGCAAACCCCCAAGTTTCCAATTCAGATCCTTACAGGCTGCACACACAGCCTGTGAAAGGAGACTGAAACGATCAGATAAGTGCATAGTTAGGAGCATACGTCACAAGCAGCAGCTCTAAATGAAGTGGAGGCAAAGCATTCTTATTTCCACCTGCTCAGCCCAGGTATTACTTATTGCTCAGCTGGTTTTCTTCATGAAAGCCTCCATCAAAAATTATAGTTTTCATGAGACAGAGAGGATCACAGCTGCAATTCAAAGAGTAAATGCATAGTGTGCATAGAGATGATCCATGTAGACAACTTCACTGCTGCTCTTAGCTGCTGTCTGCATCTTTCAGGGGTAACAGCAATTAAAGCACTTACTGATTATTTTTGAAGTTTCTGTTCATTATCACTATGAACTGCATTATTGTGAGACCTGGCATCACCATCCTGAAATAGGCTTGAGCTCTTAGTGAGCATGGTACAGGCACAGGACAAAAGCACAGTCCTAATTCCCAAATTTTGCTGATAACTTCCAGCCACAAGATACTGTCTGGGCAGCCATATCTGCAGAGGATTAGTGAGATAATACTAGTTGATCTGATGCTGCTAGCCCTTCCTTTCTGAGGCAAAACACTGGAACAGGCTGCCCAAGGAAGTGGTGGAGACACTGTCCCTGGAGGTATTTAAAAAACCTGTAGAATTGGCACAAAATTATTTCTATTTATGCCTTCATTGCCTTGACATTCACCAACAAAGTCTCCCAGCCCTCTGTGCCTCAAGGTGAAAAAACCTCTAAATAGGGGGAAAGTTGTGGATCTTCTCCTGAGGAGTCACAGACAAATGAAGTCTCAGGAACCAGTGGGGATGAATCTGAGGGTGCTCGAATAGCTGGATAATGTTGTCACTGGAAAGCCACTTTTTATATTTGAAAGGCCATCAAAATTTGGAGAAGTACCTAATTGTTGTGTTGTGTTTTTAAGTTCCCCAGTTTTCTCCCCAATTTTATATATGCTCCCCCTTTGTTCTGTGCTGAATGGTTCCTCCCCTCACAGTTTTCCCGCCACTGTGGCCCTGACCTTAAGTTGTCATGGTTACCCCCTTCCCCCCCCCCAGCTGCCAATCTCCTATGTTATGTAACTTCTCCTCCCCTATACCCCCTTATAAGTAAGTTTTTCCTCCTCCCTGGGCCCAGTCAATCACCCCCCACTCCTCCCAGCTTTCTAGAACTTTCCTCTCTCTGGGGGTTGTGATTGGCTGGTGTCCCGGGGCCCCTCCCTCGCTTTATGTTTATTGGTTATGTACTCAGGTCAGTTATGTATCACACCACCCTTTTTGCTCTCCGATTGGTTTGCTGGGCTCCCCTCCTTTCTCCTCCCCTTCTCTTTAAAACATTGTCACTCCCGCTGTTCTTGGCCACTTGCTGTGGGTTTCTTGCTACATCTGTTGGTTGCTCCTCCGCTGGAAGCTTTCAATAAACTGACATTGAACCCTCACAAGTGGTCGCCTCCTATTCCATCCCGGCAAGCGCCAGGTATCCGACTCCGCGATCCAGCCCAGCCTGAGGCCAAGACGCCAAAGGGGGCTGGCCTCCATGCGTAGGGGCGTCGGCCAATCTCACCCCTTCTGCTAGCCGGACCTTAGGGCCACGCACGCCCGAGCGCACCTAATGGCTTGGAAAAGGCTAAAAGTTGCACCTGTCTTCAAAAAGAGCAAGGACTACCTAAGCTGCTAAAGGCTGGGGGCTTCACTTCAGGAAAATCACAAAAGCAAGTTCTCTTGGAAGAGAACTTGTGGGCACATGGAGGAGAAAAATGTGACTGGAAAGATTCAGCATGGATTTACCAAGGGTAATCATCAATACTGGAACAGGTTATGGGATCCCTATCACTGATGGTTTTCAAGATCTAACTGAAGAAGGCGCTAAGCAATCTTGTCTCAGTTGAGTTTTTGCCCTTCTGTGACCAGGAGGTTGGAGTATAGACCTCTTGAGCTTCCCTCCAACTTGAATCACTTTCTGGTTCTAAACAAATACTAATTTTGAAGCAAAGTCAACAAAACCTTAAACTTCAGAAAATTTTCAGAGACTTTGTGTAAATGGCTATCACCTGACTTTATAAAAAGCATGCTACATGGTTAAGTTTGAGAGAAACTATGGTCCTATTGTTATTTTAACAATGTCTGGTTTTATTAATGCCCCATTAAACTGAAATTTGAAGGAGTGACTGTCACTTGTTATTGGTTGAATTTTAAAAAAATGGTTTTTATCAAAATGAGAGTGTATTCATCTCAAAAATGAAAAAAAGCCTGGTTTGTTCAGACTTCTGAAAAATCCCTGAAAATAAAGGTGATTTGGAAAATAGTTACTTTTTGTTACTCTAATTATTTTTTTAGAATTTATTAAGCATTAAAAAAAATTCCAAAGCCACTCTTTTACCTTACTTTTTTTTTCTTACAGAAGAATTCCTAAGTTTGTCATTCCTGGGATTTGATTTTTTTGTTCAAAAAGGATTTAATCTAAAATGTATCTCTTCCAGTCTTCCTGTGAAAATGAAAGAACTGTTATATTTTTTAACAGAACTTTTGTCTTTGTTGTGGTGCAATTGATCTATAAACATTTCAGCACAGCACTCAAGGCTGCTCCTCCAGAAGAGAGAGTGCTACAGAAGTGTTTGTGGAAGCAGCTGTGGAGTGGGGTGCATGAGTCCACACAAGGAGCCAGCACCCAGCTTTTACTCCAGAGGGGTTCAACCTCCACCCAGCTGGTGACCTACTCAGAGCTTAGCTAGGAAAGCTGAATCTGTGTGACAGCACCCAAAATAATTTTAAAAAGCTATTTTCTGTAAAGAGAAAAAGGCTTATTTATACTGGAAGGGAGAAGCAATGTAATGCCATTGTTCCTCAAAACATTTGCTATACTGAAGCAATAATAATTACATATAAGGATATATAGTAGGCACCTTATGTAGACGTAAGGTGCCTACTACATATCCTTACAGAAGTTATATATACAGTGTGCAAATCTGTTATATAGCATATGGTATATATAACTAAAAGTGGTGTACATATTTGTAAATGTGCGTGCACATACATACGTACATTTAGATATACAGGTATGTATAGAGCATGCATATATATACACCGGGACTGGGGTCATTTTGTGAGCGAGAGGCAGAGTGTTCCGCTCTGCGTGCTCCCCTCCCGGCATTCCAGCGCCGCCCGGACAATCCCCTGGAACGTCCCGGGGATCGCGGAGCCGGGGGGGCGGGGCCAGGGCCGCCCGGGGGTGGGGCCTCGGCTCTGGCCCCGCCCCGCGGCCCCGCCCCCCGCGGCGCGCGCCGCCCGCAGCCGCCGTGCCGATGCCACGTGGGAGGCGGCGGAGCCGCCGCCGCCGCCGGGCCGGAGTCGCGGCCCCGCTAACGCTGGGGACGGCGCTCGCCGGCCGCCGCGAGGAGGGGAGGTCGCGGAGCCCCCGGGACCGCACCGGGATCGCCGAGACCCGATGGGTGCTCGGCGCGGTGGCGCCCGGCTCGCGGCTCGGCCTCCCGGGCCTAGAGGCGCTGGCGGCGGCGGCCGGGCCTAGGGGCGGCTCTCCGCCCTGGGCGGCGCCCTCGCTGCTGCAGGTGCCGGCGGCGGCCCAGCCGGCCCCGCGGCGGGACGGCAGCGACCTGCCCGCCGGCGCGCCCGCCGCCCTGGCCGTGCTGCGGCTTCAGCCCGGCGCCGAGGGCTCGGCGCGGGCGGCGGCGGCGGCCGGGGCCGCGCCGCGCCTGCGGACCGTCTACGTGAACCCGCGCTGGCTGGAGCGCCAGGCCGCGCTGGGGGCGGCGGCGGCGGCAGCGGCGGCCGCCAGCCCCTGCGCCGAGGCGGCAGCGGCGAGCGGCGCGGCCGGGGCCCCGGCTCCGGCTCCGGCTCCGGCCCCAGCTCCAGCCCCAGCCCCTGCTCCTGCTCCGGCCCCAGCTCCGGCTCCGGCAGCAGCGGCGGCGGGGCAGGGCGAGGCCGAGGCGGCGGCCACCCCCTACGTGGGGCTGCGGCGGCCGCTGGGCTACAAGTTGGCCAAGGCCACGAAGGAGCGGATCTGGCGGGGGGAGTTCATTGACCTCTTTTCCTTGCTCCACACAGAGCTGGCCCCCGAGCACGGCCCGCGCCCGGGGGACACGCTGGACCAGTGGGTCTCGGCCTTCCTGGTGTACGCCAGCGTGCTGTGCGAGAAGCACCCGGCGCGCTGCGGAGCCATGTTCAAGTACCTGGACACCATCCGCAAGCTGCACGCCACCTACGGGGGCACCTCCTGGATGAACTACGATGAGGATTTCCGGCGGCGGGCGGCCAAGAACCCCTCGCTGCCTTGGGGCGACGTCGACTTGGACCTGTGGATGAAGTGGATGGCGCCCCTCAAGTCGCTTGTCCCCAGACGCCTGCGTACCGACAGCGAGACACAGGCCTCGCCGGCCCAGCCGCCACCGCCGGGCCAGAGCCCCAAGCAGGAGGAGAAAAGCCAGGTGTGATGGGCCGATGGCCGCGTGTTTCTCTGCTCTGCTGGCCGGGCATGGCGCTCCCTCGCATGGGAAGAGGAGAAAGGGGCAGTTGAGGTGCCCTTGTTTGGTCGGCAGCTCTCGTCTCGTGGCACTGACCCTTTGCTCGTGTTGACCATAGGGACACGGTATCATGGGTGCCCGGCTGGCCACCGTGAGCGGTGTGCACGCGGATGGATGCTCTGAGCAAATGTTTGAGCATTTATTGCTCCAGGCAACAGAAAATAGGAGCCCCATTAATTCCTTCTTCTGGTGTATTTTTGTATTTTCCTGAAGACATTAGAAGAAAGATGTTCTGTGGTTTTGTTCTTTTCCTTGAGTTGTCTTTAAAAATCAACTTTCTGAGCAATACAGTTATCTGTATGTAAGGGAAAGAGTACAGACTCTCCTGTTATTATGGGAGCATGTGGGCAGTTGCAGACAGCATGGGATGGCAAAAAATTGATATGAATAAAGCTAAACTTAACAAGAATGGCCGCAGTGTGCAAATTCACCACGATTTGAAGATTAAACCTGTTTGGAGGCTCGCTAGATTTAATTCACAAGTTAGAGCCTGTTTTGTGGGAAAAGATGAGTGTGATTAGGAGAAGCAGGGAGGATTTTGTGTACTTGGTTTGCTTTCAGTACAGGCATCACTGTATGAATTGGTATAACCTGTGGTGGATGCAGGCAGGTCTGCCCTTTCTTCTGCCTGGGGCATGATGCTGAGCTCCACAGCCAGCTGCCTGTCTATATTGGGGTTGTGCTGCTTCTCTTACACCGGTGACTGCAGTCTGCCAAATCCCCAGCACAGAAAATTCAGCTGGATGCTGAGCTTCATGCCAGCTGAATGGTGACAGATTCTGTTATAATGGCTATGTTTAGTTCTAATAAATTATTTTTTACAATTGTAGAAAGAACCTTTGCTTTCCAGAAGAATTTTTGTTGCTTTATCAGATGCTGTGCTTGTCTGATTGCCAGCACAGGGGGACTAAGTTCTTTGCTTTGACTCATGTTAGCCTGGTCCCTTTTCAAGGCATCTGAAAGCGCTTGGTGTATCACAGCAAGTCTTGCCTTTGGTACATATCAAAAGTAACTTCTCTAGGTCAACCTGTGACATAGAAAGGGAGCAAACACCACGCAGTAAGATAGATAAACCCAGGCCTGCTGGCCTTGCACCTTCTGTGGTTGATGCTCAGTGTTCTGCAACTTTTTCTGATATATCTGTTTACATTTCTTCATTCTCAAGGTGAACAGCTCAGTTCTTGTTTTCCTACAGATCTTATGTGAGCACCAGATGGGCAGTGGCTTATAGCTTTCATCTCATGTGAGACTGGACATGTCTGCAGCTTGTCATGTTAACCACTCTTGTAACTTCTTCCACAGCAGCTGGTCTGTCAGTGCTGAGCTTTGCTGGGTTTTCTGCTGAGGCACCAGGGATCTCAATCCTCTTTGATTTCATGGAAACCTCCTAGTTGATTTTTATCAGTGGCATTGTTGTATTTTTTTCCCCCAGAAAGTGTAAAGAAAAAAATAAACATGTTTATTTTAACTCTTACAAAATATCAAAAGTTTAATGTTTGCAAAATGAGTGGTACTTTCACAGCACAATGAAAAAGTAAAACTTGGGCAATTAATTGTTGTGGTTTCAGCCACCTTTCTGTTACTGGAGCAGTTTTTAATTGGTAGTATATAGTGTCTTATAACTGTTTAAAAATGTCCTTAAATGAAATGATGGTTTAGGTAGCTGTCAAATGTAGATGAGGCCTAGGATAAAGCATGAATTTGTCATTGGCATGGTCACAGCAAGGAAATATTTTCTTGGAGGTGACCTGTGTGTTTTCCCCATATCTCCTCAGTTTGTTGCAAGCTCTCTTTATGTTGTATAAAACTACTTTAGCAAAATAAGATGTGACATCACACTTGGGCAAAAGAACTGGAGAATTAAAATAGGAGAGAATAGCCTTTTATGGCCTCAAGACTTTGGACAGAACCTAAGCCTTTCAATATTCACACTGTCAAAAGGAAGAGGAGGTGTTTTACAAAAACCTTTTTTACCAGGCTGTTGTTTTGAAATTATTTTCTTTTTGTAGTTTCAAGGGATAGTGTTAGGCAGCCTGACTGGATTTCATTCCCCCTTTTAGTCCAAGACTCCTTGAATTTCAGCATCATTTAGTTTAGTGCCTGTATCTAATTCTGCATTTCCACAGAGGGTTAAACAGTAAAAATTAAGTCAAAGTGTAGAAAGCATTGTGTCTGAGCACAACTGTCCTTTCTAAGGCACTGGTGAAGAGCTGTAACTTTGCATTACATGGAAAGAACAAAGTGAGAAATCTTAGTTGTAGTTGGAGTGCGATAATTGGTGTGTGTGTAGGATAGGTGAGAGTCATTCCTGCAAATTTATGTCTGTGTGTATAACTTCAGACAACTCTCTTTTTTTTCCCCAGACTCCATGAAAACAGAAGACCAGTTGGGATGGGAGTCAGACTAAGTGGGTGAGTTTATTTATAAAACTGAATAACTTTGGATCTTAAATATTTGCAGATTTGTTAAATACAGAATTTCTTATTGGTGCCAACAGCCTGACTCCGTTGGTGTTTAAGTGGAGCTCTGGTATTCTAGTGCATTCTTTTACCTCTGCTTCTGTTGCGTTGCAAGCTGTGCTAGAGAAGACGTAGGAAATTCATTTTACCAATCAGCAATTGTAACAATGGACTACAAACCTGCAGAGCAAGCCAGTTTGCTGGAAAACAGGAATTCCTGCAGCGCAGCACTTGTCACAGACTATCCAAAGAGGGCAAAGATTCAGGAAGGTGAATAAATTGAACACTGGTTGGATGAGGTCAGGAGCACTCTCCCGGAGGAGAACCCTGCCCTAAAATACTACTTTGAAAGTAAAAGCCAATTTAATGCGCAGATTAAACCTTCTCATTTGACCAAACTTGTGTGCAATCCTGGATCTTTGCAGATCACAACCGGACACTTCAAAACCCTATGTATTATATTTGTTTTAAAAAAATAAATCATAACTTGTCTTGTTACAGCTGTTACTTTTGCCATTTCATTGAGAGTATCTGCAACATAAATGTGTATTTGACTCAGAAAAGTATCATACACTTGGGATAATAACTCAGGTTGTCAACAGAATTATTCTGTTAGGCTCAGTATCCTCTTTCCATTGTTCTGCATTAACCATTACTGTCATTGTCAAATAGCCCAATTGTGCATTACAAAATTCTTCATCAATTATAATGATTGACCTAAGTTATAATTTTGTTTTTATCCTATTAGATTACTTAAAATCGTGACCATCAGACTAGACCTTTGTAGTCTGGTGTTCGTGAAAATCTTTTTCACTGATTCACAGTTTTCATTCTGCATCTCAGTATGTTGTTTTCTTCTCCTTTTTCCTTGCATACTAAGGGGTGTGGTCAAGGTAATGCTATGATCCAGTAATGCGCATGATGGTAAGGGTTTGCCTTTAGTTGTTTCAGGAAAAAGCTGCCCTTATGTCCTCTCCCTTTCTCAATATTTCCAATAATATGCATAACATAAAGTGTTTGTAAATTGATATCAAACTGTTTGTGACTTCACCTAAATAAATTTTTATATTTAAATGCTATTCTTAATCTTACCGGGTTTTTTCCTCCCTTGTTCTTGTATTGCCACTTCGCTTTTGTATTCGCTTTTTTTATCACCTGACTTTTTACACAATTTCTGGTTTTCAGTTATTAAAGCACAACTGAATTTTAATTAACAAGTGAAAATAAATTAGCCTTTGGAATTTTCTTCCAATATTTTGCATAAAGACTTCATAATGTAGCTGTAGCTATCGTAGCTTATTCATCTGCCAGTTTTTGAGACAGTGATAGCACATATTGGGCCTTGAAAATGAAATAGCTTCTGTACTAAATACTTAATGGTCTCCAAAACTGATCTGGTGAATGCTGAGATTCCTGCATTTGATACAGTAGAATACAGAGCACTTTGACACATTATGAAAGTACTTTTTGTTTTCAAGAAGAGGCTTAAGCTCAATCATCTGATCACTCATGCTATTTTTCCTTTGTCCTCCTGTTTTAAGAAATCAGAACCTGGTTACTGACTTGTCTGCTGTGTTTGTTACCATCATTGCTACATGAACCACATGGCTGCTCCATCACTGCAGGGATCTCTGCCTGAGCAAGTGCTGTAGTGTCAGGATTTGGGAAGAGGTCTGGGAAGAGGTGGATGTGGAGTGAGGAAGAGTGAGCAAAAACTGGTCTCATCTGTCTCCCTGATGAATTGTACAAGTATGGGTCTTAACCTACAGACTCAGAGCAGCAAAGCAGCAAGTTTTGGTTTTTGTGTCTGCTTTGAAAGCAGCATAGCCAGCTGGAGTCCAAAACACTTCCTAATGTTCTTTGCTGAGTCCTTCTGCCAAGAATGTTTTGGTTTGTTTGTTACTCTCTCCAGCTTTATACAGTCTGGTGCCCTTCCTGGCACTGTCACCACCCAGTCTCCTGCTTGTTGCTGGTTCTGGGTTGGACCACCCTGTCTTCCATATCTGCTATAGAGAATTGCCAGAGCTCCACCTTGCTCTCCAGTGCCAGTGGCTGCTTTAAAGTCACTGTCTGCTTTCATAATGAAGTTGTGTTTCATGTCATTGGCAGTGATGTTTTTGCACGTGTGGGACCTCCTCCCCTCTTTGCTGTTTTTCTTCTTCACTCTGAGCCACCCTGTAATTTCACTGTGGTACTTGTGCATCCTTGCATTAGGGTTTATGGTTGCATGTGTGCTTTGCCTCTCATTGCTGTGCTGTAAGATTCTGCAGGAAATTTCCTTCTACACTAGTTTCTCATTAAAATGTTGCACTTCAAGGGATTTCTTCAAATTTCAACAGTTAAGTTACTGCATGGATTTGCCTCTATCCTTGACACTGGGGATAACCCTTTAAAGTGCTGTGTGAGCACACATTTGGAGAGAGGCTTGGGATTTGACCATGATTCTGTTCCTCTTGGAGTAACTGTGATCTGCAGTGGAAACCAGTGATGCATAGGGAGTTATTTTTCTACAAATACTATTTCTCTTAAGTGCTATTTCATAGCATGGGGGGATGTCTTTGCTATAGTTGAAATTTCTTATGCTTTGGTCTAAAGATTTTGAGCATTTGTACAAAGATGATGCAAAACTTTTCAGTAAGACTGATGGAATTTCCATTTGGGAATATTTGTGTAGTGTGTGGGAATTTATTTGTATGGGAGGACCTGAAGCTTATGGAAAAACAGTTTTCTCTCAGTTAACTAGAATTAAGGAGTGTACTTTTAGGGAGTAATTTCAAATAAGTTTATTTTTAGGGATTTCTAGCAGGATAGATTTTTTTTCCCCCACAGATGTGCGTTTTCATGTGCTGGATTTATATGCATTGTTATTGCAAAGAACAAATCAAAACTAATGCAGTGTGATTCTGACAGAACACAAAACAAGTTGCAATGTAGGGATAAGACTAAACTACATAGTTCTTTCAGTAAGCTGACGTGCTTGGGGAGTTCAGATTTGAGCTGTAGCAGAAGTAGAGTCAAATAATTGGGATTTCTAACTTCCACCTGTGTGCAGCAGTTCAGTTTGAGGTATTGAAAGCATCAGAAAAGACAAGGCTTATTAGTAGGCTCTTCTGGCCTTATTAGTACAATGTTGTGTCTTTAAAGATACGGTGACAGTAGAATGTTTTGCATGTGAGGTAGCCTGTTGCATCTGCAGTTGAGCAAAATTACTTCCATCCTCTGATGAGATCTCAGTGTGACTTCCAATTTAAGCTTCAGACATTGCTTCCCCATCTTCTGCTGTCTTGAATCATTGTACCAACTTGGTTATCTTCTTTATAAAAATCTGGTGAGCACAGCAGACATCTGAGGGCAGTGTCTGATCAGCCTGTCTGTATGTAGGGAGCCTTTCATGTGTGGTTAGTTCTACCAGGTTGTGTGGTCTGGCATGAAGGAAGTCAGAGAGTGTCTAAGCGTGGCTGGGTGGAGAGCACACAGGAGGCTCCCCAGCTGCCTGCAAGGCTTGTGTGGTTTTGAGAAGCCAGTGGCATTGGCAGCATTTTTTTCTGTCCACTCCTCTGGTAAAATCAAACCCCAAAGCCCCCAAAGACTGTTGTAACCATAGAGGGAGGGGATGTGAGTCAGTTCCAACAGCCTTGGTGTTGGTGGAGGTGTTGCCTGGTGAAGTTACCAAACTTCTTTTCAGGTCATAGGCTTAACAGGAAGAACTGCAACAATTGATAGTGTCTGTGGGAGTGCTTTTGGTAACTCTTCCTACTAAGAGATTAAGTCTCTGAGAACTTGGCTGGAGAAACGATAAAGATCTTATTTTCCCCTCTTGTTTTGGTACCCAGGTTTGGTTTTTGCCTCAGCCCAACCCAATAAAGGAGCTTTGATCCATAAAATCTTCTAGGCCCAGAATTTTTTTTCTTCACCTGGAAATTCTCATCAAAAACACTTGGCATTGGTGCAATTTTGCAGTTTACTGGGCAATCAGCAAAAGAGCAGCAGAGATTTAAATAGCTGGAACGTGTTTACAATATCTTGCTATTTGTAAACTTGAAATAATTCAATAAGTACTTTTACCTTTTTTGGTGGCTGTAGCTCTTTCTTTACTTTAAGGAATACTTTATTTTCTGCAACGTTTCAGGTCACTGTTGCTGTGTCAATATTTCCAAGGCAGCAGGGGAATGTTTACATAAAAATACCAAAGTGTTTTCTTTAAATTTTTTAATTGCAAACATTTGCGTCCATAAAATCCTTTGCACAAAACTTAGGTTGCTTGTTATTTATTCCATTCATAGCTAAACCTGGATCATATTCAGTTTCCAGATTTTTTTTTTTGGTTTTCTGAACTGTGCAATGTGAGGATTTTATCTGAACCTACATCACCAGGTGTAGAAGATTCCACCTGCCGCTTCAATTGGCAGTTCTAATGATCTGAACTCAGGAGTGGTTGTTTAAAACGAGCTACATTGCTTACACAGGCTGCAGTGTAAGTGCTTTTGATACAAGCACCACCTGCATTGCTGATACTCAGTGTCCATAAATGCCCTCTGTTACCCCCAAATATGAGGCTACATGAAGGTAGTGGGCAGTAAAGTGTGGTGATGTTGGTGGGGCTGCTTAGTTGATAACCTGCAAAACAACATAGTGGCAGAGGACCTGGAGTGTGTATCCAGGAGTAGATGTTGCTGGCATCAACAGGGACAAGGCATGTCCTTGAAATGTGTAACATGAACTAGGAGTTCAGACCTCCTCTGCCTAAACTTCCTGCCCTGCACTTGGGCATTCTGACATGTGGCTCCCACCATACCTGCCTAGTCTCAGCTCCTGGGGTTTTTTTACTTTGTAACAGTGAAATGTCATTGATGGTGTTGGGAGCAAACAAATACCACCAGAGCAGGCAGATGGTTCCCTGATGGTGTTGGGAGCAAACAAATACCACCAGAGCAGGCAGATGGTTCCCTGCTGTGTGCATCTCCCTGGGATGGTCTATGCAGTGCTAAGGGAAAATATTGTTTTCCCCATCTTTTAGCTGTGGAATGATAATTACACATGAACCTAACAGAGGTGCTGGGATTACAAATGTTAGCAAGTCCACACTGGCAATAATAAAGTAAGGTTGGTGTGAGGTGGGGAAATCTCTGAGGATGCCTTTGCTCAGGGCATGCAGGTGTGTGTCTTGCTGCACTTGGTGTGTCTGAGTGGACTTGAAGCAATAGAGTCCATGAAGTGGTGTTGGATTGGGAGAAGCACTTTGTTTTCCTTGCCTGTGTCACTTTCCTTGTCCTTTCTCCCTCACCAGCACTCTCCCAAGCGGGATATGTGACCTTGTTATTGAGTATAGGTGGATACCAGGGGAAATCTCACTACCATTACATGGGATTGCTGGGAGAAATGACCGAGTTTACACCTGTAAGATCATGAAGTTTTTCCAGGAGCAGCTCAAAAAATTTGGTGGTATTCAAAGGCAAAAATAGTGACTTTGAGGGTACCCAGTCTGGAAATTATTTTCTCACTGAGAAAAAGATGTAGCTTTGTGGCTTAGTGTGGCCAGTGGAAAAGCTTTGGGCAGAATATCTCAAGGGGGTTTGGTTGCAGAAAGTAAATTATACGTGCACCAGTATTGCTGCAGGTGCTGTGTGGGCCAATATGTGAGCAGGAAAAGGAGCCCTGGCCAGTGGGTGAAGCTGACCAGGCTGTCAGTGATGCTGATCCACCAAGCTTGAGGGCATTTCATGGAACTGATTACAGAACTGTGGAGTCCAAGGAGGGACCTTAAAAGACCACTCTTCTTCTTGTGCCTTAGCATGCTTTAAAAAAACCCCAAAACAACAGAAAGCCACCCAGCCACAAAGTACTTTCATTGTAAGACTGGAATATAGTTGCAAACGCTTTCTGAGAGGACAGTGAGTGATACCTGGTATGCACCATTTCGTACCATGCATTTTCTGGTTTAAACATTTTGATTACCTGCAAATGAAATGGAGTAAAATTGAATCTTTCAGTGTTAGAAAACAATACCATTTACCTGTGTGTTACGACAGGTAGGTCTGTCTTAACACACAGGTAAATTGTATGTGTTAAGACAAAATGT